ATAGTGGCTAGAATATATGGATTGTTGGGAAAAGCTGAACTGGACAGGGATGAGGGATCAAGCAAGGAATTAGCCCTGAGTTCTTGCACAGTTGCAAGATAATCAGGACTAACAATCCCCAATCCCCAAGCTCCTATCTGTTCCCAAAGGAAGGCAAGCAGTCTGGGAAGATTCCTGTATTACAGGCAGAATATAATTATTATATTCTGAGTTAGTTTGAACTCTACATGTGTGGATCTGGTCGCTTGCACTTGACATAGATTGAATATGATAGATCATGCTTTTTTGTGATACACAAGAAAAGGAAATGAGTGTGGGAAGGTTGTTGGATTTGCCTTTTAAACTATGCACAGCCCATGTACATTCCTCGTCTTCCTGGATGTATAAAAGTTTCAGATTGTAGTCTATTTAGGAATAGATTAATTATTGTGGAATTGAATAGAAGCCTCAAAGAACTTGTCTCAAAATTACTCCAATTACCATCTGTTTTACAAATACAGTACTACCCCTCATATCAAATTCATCAGTGGAAAATGCATGTATGCAGTGAAATTTTAATTTGGAAAAAAGCACACCATAAATTCCTATTGTGACTAGAACCATAATATATAGCCAGTCTTTCCATTCATCCTCATCATAATGTTTCCTTCAGAGCATGCAACATTATGCAAAGCATAGAAAACAGTAAAAGTACAGACCAAAGAGATTGAAAACATGAAGTGAGATCCATGCAAATCAGCCCAGATTCTAAAATGTTTCATATATTGCCTTTTATTTGTTTTCAATCTGATACACATTCATCCTCTGAAACGTGACTAAGTTGCCTCAATATACCTTTGTGCGGTTCACTCATTTCTATATTTCACTCATATTATTTCACTCATATTATTTCATTATCCATTTATTTTTGACCCTATCTCTTCTTGTTTTATAATGCAGTAAGTATGCTGATCTCATTCGCATTGCATTCAATTTATTTTTCTCTTTTTCTTAATATAATATATAAAAGTGGACAGAAACATATTTTTGTTGCTTAATTAAAAAATATTCATTCCTTGCAACAGATCACATCTCACTCCTTATCATTGTGCCAATATGCGCAAGTTATAAAATGTCTGTATTTTTCCATATTAAATAAATATTCTATCAAGATATACAAATTCATCTACTCATTTTAATTTTTAATAATTTGACTTGCAATAATTCATTCCATTTTCTCAACTATCTTGGTTTTTGATGCATTTATTTTAGATCATGGAATCCATCTAAATTCTCTGCAAACCATTGGAGTTGTCAGAAAAAACATGGCTTTGTTTACATGCATGTTCCCAACTACCAAAAACATTCCTTATTCTTTATCCATCAATATGGATAAGGAGTTTTATATGTCTCACAATTGCTCAGTTCCTTTATGAGCTTTCCTTTATTCTCATAAATGTCTTAGTTTCATCATGTGGCACTCATGACATTCAGCAACCAATCTTCACGTTCTTATTTGCACAAAATATTCCATAATTCAAAATGATAGATAGTCCTTAACTTACAACTATTCAGTTAGCAACCATTCAAAGATACAATGGCACTGACTGATCCTCACACTTATCACCGTTGCAGCATCTCCGCAGTTACATGATCAAAATTTGCTGCTTGGTAATCGTCATGTGTTGATGATGGATGCTGCATCCTGGGGTCATCTGATTGCCATTTGCAATCTCCCTAGTTGGCTTCTGACAAGCAAAGTCAATGGGGAAATCCAGATTCGCTTAACAACACAATTCACTTAACATCTGCAGCGATTTGCTTAACAACCATGGCTAAAAAGGTCATAAAACAGGGTGTGACTCATTTAACAATTCTCTTACTTAACAATAAAAATTCCGGTCCCAGTTGTGATCATAAGTCAAGGACTACCAGTACTGGATTATCATACATTTTCTCTTTCTTTTTCAGACATGTATTTCTCAAGGACCAATTAGTTTTTCTGTCCTGGCTGGAATAAAATCATATTGCACTTTCCAGATTTTGCTCTTTGTCATCCCTTGAACCTTTTCAGTCAAAATTCTGCAACAACAACAACAACAACAATAATCTTTGCCCACACACTTAACAATTTACATTTGCTGTCCTTCCTTATGTATAGGGGTGACAGTTTTCTATTCAAGTGCAAATACGGTCCTCATATACAGTAAACAAGTTGCAAAGTCATTCTATAAGCAAATCATTTTCAGATTTTAATGCTTTTTCAGTGACATTTCTGCACTATAACCTTTCCATTTTTCAACATTCCAACAGCAGTAATTTCCTTTTCATCTATTTTTCTTTTGAACGTTAATATTTATAACATTCCCTTTCATTCTACTTTTTCATACCTTTCTCATATACTCGTGCATATTTCGGAAGTCGAACTTCCAGCATTCTCTCACTTCCTGTTTCAACCCAAATAATTATACCACTTTTATCTTAGTTCCATTCTTTTCCTGGAGGTTCTTTGTTTAGTTGCCTTCATTTATTTCCAAAAATGTTATACATTTTAATCAAAACCGTGTAGTATTTTCTTTTATTCTTCCCTTTTCTTTGTTCTTAATCATATTTTGTAATTCTATTTTTCACTGCATACATTTTGTAATAGCTTTCTCTCAGCATTCTTGTAGCACTTACAAATTCTTTTCTCATACACAGTATCTTTCATATCTTCTTTCCATCAAACTTTCCTTATTCAGCTACCTTTATACACTTTTCTGGCATGTTGTAGCCTGTTTATTTTCTAAGAAGTTTCCACTGCTTTATTGCAAGAACAATAAAACTAACCTCATTTCCTAGAGTTGTTACATAGCAGAATAGTATAATTGCTGGGGAAACATTTTCCATCCAAGGTGCCTATGTGCTGATTTGCATGCAAACAGAGTGCAAGAATAGATCCAATGATAGGCACTTCAGTGAGGATATATTCTATGGTTCCTTTCCGAACATATTCTATAAACCCTTTTGGTCATGCATTTTTTCTCAAACTTTACTCTTTTATTTTGTTTTCTTCAGCACTTTCTTCTCTCACATACCAATGCCATATCCTTGATCATCTCCCAAATACACACTCCATTCTCTGGCATATATTCAGCTTATTCTCTTACTCTCTCACACACAATCTCATTTTTCACTTCCTTTCTTGCACCAACACTCCACACACACACACACACACACACACACACACACACACACACACACACACACACACGATATCAGGCTTTGAAATAGCCTAATTAAAAGCAGCCTTTGAAATGCCCAATACATTTGCAGATGGGAAGGCAATTGTTTGGAAGGGATACCATTTCACAGAATGGTACAAACAGACTTAAACTTTAAAACAAGCCTCTGTTCTTATAAACAAGATTTGTAGAAAGAAAACTGAGGTGTCTTCCAAGTACATTTTTTTCCTCTTGAGTGTAACACAATAATTGGTATTGCAACAGGGTTATAATTTAGATTATAATTTATAATCTCTCCACCACAGGCATTGTTAAAGTGGCAACATATATAAAATGGGAACCACAGGATTTGGGAGTACAATAGGGGAAGAAGGAAAGTTAAATCATCTCACACTTTGTGTTTTTGAAAACACCTCCTGTGAGGTTCCTATTTACATTGGGGGAAAAAACTAATAACCTCAATTTTAGTTTATCTGATACAGAAGTGTGCATTAAAACTTGGAATATTAAATCTGGCTATGTTTGGACTCAAAAGGTGTTCTGAAGTACATGTCCTACCATGGGTGAGTGATGGATAGGCATCGTACAGCTTCCCAGATGTTGCTGAACTATAATTCCTAGCACAACCAAAAGGGAGGGAAGTTCAGATATTTTGAGGTCCACACATTGCCGCCCCATTTTCCGAGGGAAAGTTAACAGTTAAGAACAATAATCTGTCATCAAGAAATAATAGTTGGATTAAAAAAAATGAGTTTTCTCTGATTCACACTTCAGTCTTGATGACAGTTTCATGTCTGTGTAAGTTTCCTTGGCAAGAACATGGAAATGGCTTGTCACCATTTTTTCCATAATGGTTTTCAACTTCCCAATATTGCTTGATATACCATGATAGTCTCCCGTTTAAGTACTAATCTTGCCTTCTTTTGAAGCACAAACAAAACTCAGCTAAACATCCTTGTCTGAATTATGTGTGCAAACATGTCACCCACCCACCCATCTATCTATCTATCTATCTATCTATCTATCTATCTATCTATCTATCTATCTATCTATCTATCTATCTATCTATCTCTTGACAAACTGACTAGTCAATGGAATCCAGTTACATGTATTTTTGGATGGAAACAAAATGTCATTGAGAAACTGAAATCAGAATTTAGGATTACAAAGATTAGTGGGACTGTTAATTATGATTAATGTAAATTATGTTGGTTTCAGGATGCCTAACTCTAGATTCTATGTATTATCTATAGGTACATTAGAAATGATAAGATAGATTCAGAATTGCACAGACTGTAGGACAACTGATTTTGCTAATTTACCATTCCCATACATTTCTTGAAACCTTTTCCAGATTCTTAGTGATAAGGCAACATAGAAAAAATTTGTTGGCTATCTAAGATTAAATTTTAAATATTTTGTTCTGCAGCAGTTTTATTTAAAAAAGTATACATTTCCTACCTTACATTTTTCACTTAGTAAGACAATGTTGGATTTTACTCCTTTTACTATTTACTTCAAATGAGTTCCCTCTACAATTGTTTGTACGTTCAATCATAACATCATCCAACTTCCATTCTTCTTTTTCACCTTCTAGACCAGCCTTTTTGTTTATGGGACAATAATTGTTAGAGTAGGTGTGAACTTAAATGGACTCCAGAAGATGGTAGAGGACAGGAAGACCTGGAGGAACATTGTCCATGGGGTCGCGATGGGTCGGACTCGACTTCGCAATTAACAACAACAACAAATTGTTAGATAAATCTACTTGCAAAAAGATAGTCAAATGAAATTATCTAGGCAGAATCAACCCATGCTTTTATTTCCATTGCATATAAAAATTTCATATGAAGGTATCTGACATACAGTACTATTCCATAGGCTGTAAGAGAGGCTAAGAAATCATTGAATTATTTGCAATGTTCGCATACTCTGTCACTCTAAAGACATACCCAAAGGAAACAAAACCAACTGAAAACAACTAAAATATTGTTCAGGAATTCTGTTGTAATAGTGTCCCTTTTATATTGTGAAAAACAAAAGCAATCGTATTCCTTTGGGCCAGGGCTGCTAAAATCTACAGTTTGTGTCAAGGAGGCGGCTCTGTTTTTCTTGAAAAAGAATTTCTCCTTTCACCAAGCAATCACATGCTACATGGGCTGGGTGCGGGTAGAATAGAGATGAGGTATCTGAACTACAAAGCTTCATGTCCAAGAGCAGCAGCGAGACATACTTCAGGCCATTGTTGATTTTGCCTAAAACAAACGGTAGTGTTTCAATGATGTAGGAAAGCTACAGACGTTCCTGATGCATTCATATGATGCACATTCATTCATACAGAAGTAAGCTTTGGCTGCCTGAAAGCCTTATAGAAGGGAATAGGTCCTGTTTTACAGCACAATATCAATACAGGTCTAATCTAGAGAGCCACTGTATTAAAGATAATGGGTATAATCTGCCTATATGAATTTGCCTTGGTATGGACAGAAGTAACTTCCTTGTTACAGTGGGGCTTGAAAGCAGTAGCTGCCATTGATTAGTGCTCATTCTTTTTGTTTAAGTGGCGGCGACATTTTTTTTTCCTTTACTTTCTCTAAGAAAGGTGAAGAATCCCTCAAGAAAAGCTTTGAAGGGGAATGTGTATTCCATTAGAGAAAAGGCATTTATCCAAAAAGAGGTCAGAGCCTGGCAGGGGCATCCACATGGTGTCTCAAAAAAGGCAAGATGGCAGTTTCAATTGCACAGTCTCTTGCCATCTTGCCTTTTTAAAAAAAAAAAAAAAAAAAACCTTCTTCCCAAAACCCAGCTTCAGTGGATCTAAATAGTGGAAAAGAGAACATTCCTAGATGGGACACAGTTGAAGTCCCATTTTAAAAAAAGCATAGTAGAGATACACCCAGCCCATGTTTGCTACGACCTTTCTTCCAAATGCAGCAAAACAGAAGAAAATTTTGTTTAAAGTTAAGGCACAGCCCTGGGACCAAAGACCTGCAGCTTTTAATTTATATATCTATGTATTCTATCATTTTTCTCAACTCTTCCATAAACAAGCTCTAAGGTGATATAGAATATATTACACAAGGGAAAAATGTACAAGGGGAGTATGTATACACAATATTAATTCTCTCACCAAGAGTTCCAAATATAGCAACACCATCCTGGCAAGGATGATGTTATAATAAGAACTTATAATTTACAATTAACATTACACTATATACATTACAATAAATACATAGCTGTAAACAGAGACAAACAAGACTTATTACAAGTAAGGTCATTTGGTGAGAAAAAAATATGCATGGCACAAATAAAAAATAAATAAATGCATTGTAAAATAAATGACAAAGTTGTAAAATTCATTTCATTCTCAAGTTTTTTTAAAAAAGCTTTTGAATGTGATTTGTTCTACCTATATTATCTGATCACATTTTTTGAAACAATGACATGAAATCAGAAATCAAAAGGAACAGACACAACATTACCAAGAACAGTAACTTGCAAGCTAAAGTAAAAATGCAAACTCAAATTCCTCTTGCCTTTCCCAGATTCTCTCACTTTCCTTTTCAAAACTGTACCAATGCTTTGCATTTTACTTGTGGCAAAAACAGAGAGCACATGTAAAGTCACCTTTTAATATTTTTTTTCAGCCATGGGTGTGCTATCACACACTTCAGGCAAAATAAAATAAAAGAATAAAACAGAAAAGATTGTACAGTGCATTCAATCCCTGGCTCTAAAAATTATGTTTTCTGTCATTTGATTGTCCATGTGTAAGGGTGTATTTTTACACAATACACAATACAGTCTCCATTTTCTTTGAAAGTTTAATCTTACAGTGTGCACTCTAACAAGATCCAGCAATGAATTAAACCTTCTTGAAATTAATAGCTGGGAAATCTTGTTAGAAAGCAAAGATATTTATGTATTTAACAGTTCTTTCCTCAGAACTTGCTGGCCAAGCCAGAGATCACTCCACCTTATTGATTAAACTATTAGTGCAGAAAAAAATTACCCTTCTATGTCCATTTTGATTTTTGGAATTTATATTGCTTTTTTTTCATTAAAATTCCAGGCACTCTTGGGGACTGTACAAATGTCAAAGTAGTGAAGGAGAGGCCATGAATTTATGCTAAGAGCAATTTGATGAAAATCTTCCATTCATTTCCCGAGTTGGTATTTTTTAACAAAAGGCATTAAGAACTAAGAAAGAGTCAACATATTAAAACATTTTTCAAAAATCCTCATTAGTCAGTGCTTACCATAAGAACTTGATATACAAAACAACCCTTAATTCTAAATAAATAAAGGAATAGTTCCATCGATTACAATGGGACTAAAGCCTTATTAATTTAGGCTCGATCCAATCCAATCGTATTTTTGTTTTCAGCAAAACAAGGACTCATGATTCACACCCAGTCCAACAAAGTTTAATACTGGGATTACAATAACTCTGTGCAAAGTTTTTGCATACAGTGAGGAGCTGTTTTATGCAAATGTACGTCAAATATAGAGGATCTATGTGGTCATGGAAATGTACCATATTGATAAAGCAGCATGAAAATGTGCCTACTAATGCAACCTGGCAAGAGAAAGGCAGCACAGGACAAGTGAGAATGGCCCATTTCAATCCTCACAGATATCAATCTGCATTAACATCTGCTACTGTGCATAGATTTCCTACACATTATTATAACTGTATGCTACACCTACAGCCAAATTTAAAATTAGATACGTAAATCCCATAATGGCATGTAATTCTACATTGGATGGTAGTCTACACTTTGTTTTGAAAATGCTTTTTTTCTCACAACTTGTCAGTTTTGTAGGGTAGTGCATTTCCCACAATAGCACAAACCCACTCAAAAATTTTTTGAAGTAACAAGAAATTCCTTAGAAACAGTTTATTCCTGACCTGCTTGCACAAATATAATCTGAAGTACTGTGCAATAAAAGTGGCCCGTAAGCCTCCAACCAAAGTATTTATTTGTTGGTCTAGTAAAGTCACTGGGGCTGAAGACTACTACAATGCTATTGTTCACTCCAATGAACTGTCTCATGGAAAAGGAAATATTCAGTGATCAGATAAAATACTAAGAAAGTCACACTTATACTGGCCATAGATCTGAAAACCTCAGATCCAAATTTGTCATTCATTTCAATCTTCTAAACCCCAATGCATCTACTATAGGAAGATAGAATCCTAATGGTCCAAATTCCTGTCACTTCTCAATTGTTGCAACCCAAATGTTGGGGAACTGCTACTCTAGTGTTCCACTAGATTTCAAAAATAATTGTTTTGGTTGAGGAGAATTAACTCACAACCATAAACCTTGGATCTGCAGGACTATCTGCGAGGCCAAAGAGCTCATAGCAGATAATATATTGCTGCTTTTGGACATTTACAAAGAAAAAAGACAGAAAACAAAGTGTTTTCCTACAATAAGAGGCTGGGTATATGGGTGGGTGAGAGAGAGAGAATTAACAGAACATCATATATGTATCATTGGTCTATAAAACAAAAGGCTATTTTATAACAGTTGAAGGAATTGCTATGAAAATCTAAGTGCAAACAAATATAAAATTCAATTTATCCAGTGTAGCATATACATGTACTGAAAACTTGCAAGTTACTCTTTTTTGGGGATAGGAGAAGAGGTAGGAAGAAAAAGCCACTGGCAGATGAAATTCAGAGGGTGTTGCATTCTTTTAAATATAATAACCCAACACATTTAATAATAAAAGTAAACTCTACAAAAAGATTTCTGTTGTACATATGATACAAAATGCAGACTTTAGTGCAACCGTTGAGCTACACCTTTTTCAGTCATGTTTCAGGAAGACTTGAAATTAGAAAAGTATGTGATTTCCACAGCTTCATCTTCCTACTGGTTCATGTTGTATCCCGATATTTGAGTGCATTTATTTTCCACTAGACAACTTGATTCAATTGCTGGTCACTTTCTTTAGATTCTGGTGTTAATCATTAATTGTATGTTATTAATTGCCTCTTCATGAAATTAAAACCTAATACAAAACACACATACAATCTCACACACACACACTCACATTAGCTTTGGACCAGCCTTTCCTCCTTTTGAAAAACAGCTGTGAGTACTGTCAGTTTCTCATATCAGCCAAGCTGAACTCTTAATTCAACTGTTCTTTGCAGATGTTTTCCTTCATTCTCTGGTACCATGGAGATGAACAATTCTGGTCACACTAATCCTGAGTGCCGAACTAAGTTTTTGATCAACAAACAACTCTGGCAGATGACAGTGAGGCATGATCACGGTTGTGCCGTATGATATGCACTTTGGAAACCATTTTCAGCTTTTAAAAACAGAAAAGGAGAGAGTATAGAGAACTATGCAGTTAGCATACTGTTACGTGTCAGGAGACTGTTCTTCTAGCACACAAGGTTCTGACTGATTCTCCTCCTCTTCCTCCTCTACCACTTCTTCTCCCACTTGTTCATCAAGTGGAATTTCTGTGGACTCTGAGTCTTGGGTGCAAAGAGTCTTGGAGTCACTGCAGCTGGTATCTTCTTCCACTTGACTTCCACTGTCCTTCTCTGTGTCTGATTCACCATCTTCTTCCAAAGTTAGTTCAAACTGAAATTTTTCAGTTTGTCCTTGTCTACCCTCCTCTTGGTCATCCGGTGCAGGAGAAGGACTCTGAGGGATTGTGCTCTGGTACCATTCACGATTGTCCTCCAAAGTATCTAAGATGTCTTGGGCATCTGGATGGACAAGGTCTGCCCAGGTCTCCCAGAGAGGGTGAACAATGTAGTCTATAAAACCCACCTGTTACAATGTAAAATTAAGGGGAGATGTTATTCTAAAGAATGAAGGGATTAAGTTTATCACATTATTTATTAAAATTAACTTCACAAGAAGCTATCTTTTTATTTAGTCCTTTTCTATATTATTTTTCTTTTAAATGAAAACTCCAAATTATTTTTTTCATTATTTAATAGACTTTATTTTATCAACCATTTGTGTAAATATGAGGGAAATAAACAAAACCATGTTACAAGCAAAGTAATATTCCTTAAATCATGGGAAACAAGATAGCATTGGGAACAAACTCAGGCAAACTCTCTGATTCACTGAGATATAAGAGGGAGGGGAGATAAAGTCCAATCACTCTTGCAAGATTCCATTAGTATAGCATTGTAATATAGCGTAGCAGTGTAATTTAGTTCTTGTCTTCCTGTACAGTCAGTTTCCTGATCTGAGCTATGCTGAATGGCTGACATCAATCAACAGTTATTGCCTATTTTTTTCCAAGAGCTTACAGGATTCTCTAAACCAGTGCTTCTCAACGTTTGTGTGACAGCGACCCCCGTCAAACAAACGTTCTGCGCATGTGTGGCGCCGCGCATGGGGGCGGGCCCCCATGTGCGGCGCGCATGCGCGCCGCCCCATGCGCGGAGCGCATGCATGGGCGACCCCCGAAAAATGGTCGATCAACCCCAAATGAGGTCGCAACCCATAGGTTGAGAACCGCTGCTCTAAACCATCTACACTGATTTTTCATCCTTCAATTAAATGATTACCTGTGATTTTTCTACAGATGCATTGTGTTTATCACACATGGGACTTATTTCCATGCCTCTTTCTCTTTCTCGATCTCCCTGACGAAAGAACTCTTCCATTATTCTATCTGTCCATTGGCGATATAACTGGAGTGGCTTTGTTGGATTACTTAGATCTGCACAGTGTACCATATTTTGTAGAACCTAAATTAAACAGGAAAAAATATTGAGAAAACTTGTGGTGTTATTCCACTTAACACAAAGCTTTTTTTCCATTTGCACATTGGTGAGTGAGAAAACAGAAATCTTGAAAATACATGGAGTGCAAGGTTTATTCTGAACACCAGCAGGATGATATGCTGTGTGTTTTTCACACTGACATTAATAGCTACCAATTATCTCACATCTATAGCTTTGCCTATATTAAAAGGCCAAAAATGTTGTAAGTGCAAGACTAATCAGTTATGAAGATATGTGGGAATTAATCAAGCCTGTTAGCCACCCTCAAGATCAGGAAAAAAAACTTCAGACACTGACATAATAGTCTAAATTAGGATTGGCCTGTAGGCTACATAAGCATTTAAATGAAATTTTGAAAGTCAAACTGCAGAAGTGGGTACCATTGTATATGGAAATGTTAAAAATGTTTTAAGAATGAAAATTAATTTTAGCATCATTAAATGAAGAGTCAAGAAAGAGTGAAGTACTTCTGTAAGCTGAGGTACCTCATCAAGGAAGAATGCCCTAGAAACAGCCATAACCAAGATAACGTTTTTGCAAAAAGTATGGCAGTGAGTCCAAAAAGTCAAGTCACCCAGGTCATCTGAAGGTAATGATATGAATAAAGAAGACAATTTGTTTGAAATGTAGAGTATCTTACCTGAATCCTATCTGAATAGTTATCAAGAAGTAGAACTCCAGAGCTAGTCACTTTCTTGGTTTCAACCATTGTTTTCAAATCGGCCAATAGATTCATATGCTTAGACATGTCTGTGGCAAGCACCTTGGAGGAGAAAGAAAAGATAAAGGTCACAATAATTGATTCCATCTTAAAGCTATTACATCTTGCTAAGGAAAATAAAGAGACAGTCAGAGAAAATATCCTAATCAAATAGATAGATCTTAATCAGGGCTTTTTTTCCTCATAGAACGCCCAGAACGGAGTTCTGGCACCTTTTTTGGATGGAACCTTATAGGGTAGGCAAGGTGGGTTGTATGATGTGTGTGAGTTCTGGCACCTTTTTTTTTTTTTAGAAAAAAAGCACTGGATCTTATGGAAACACAAATTGCATAAATCAGGTTATTTCAAACTATTCACCCCCCCCCCCCAGAAAAAAAATTATGTGGTGCATCATTTTGCATTTGAGCTATAGGATGACAGAAAAATGAAAGTAATATCAAATTTATCATGAAATGGATCTATAAAAACAGAATACATTAAAAATAATAAATAAATAATAAATAAATAAAAAACAACTCACAATGTCAATGACCATCTTCCTCAATGATTGCTTCTGCTTTTTTGTCAAGTTCTGGAAAATGTCACAATTCTCCTCCTGCAATAATTTGAACCCAACAGCTAGATGATGATTTTCCAGGACTGATGAATCATTATACATCAAGGCAAGTTCAGAATCTGCAAGAAAATCCCAAGACAGCACTGTTAATAAAATTTGCATTTTTGTTTGATTGTTTTACAAGTTATATTTCTGGGTCTTGATATTATTAAGGCATCCAAAACATCCATCTACATTAGAAAAAAAACACACCACTATGGCTAATTGCAAATCAAATCTGACAACAGACTTTCTTCAAGAACAATGCATTTGTTTTTCTCAGAAAGTATATTTTTCACAATTGTCATTTATCCTGCTGAAATGTTATCTGCCAAGCTGACAGAGCTTCAGTATTGTCTCCTTTTGTTTCTATTGTTTGGTGGTGAGCACTAATGGAGGCAGAAGACTCATTAATAAGATGTAGAGTGCAATTAGACAACCCATGACTTGTTGGGTCATCCTTTCAGAGATATTTCCTTACCTAAACAGAAAAACAGAATGACCCTATGCAAATTGCTATTGTTTTGGTTTGAAAATTAAAGAAGAAAATATCATTTTATTAAAGAAGAAAGATGTCTAGCAAGGCTAATATAGATGCTTTTCATTTAATGAAGGATGCTTTAAAAATACTGGTTTACATATCTTTTCCTTGGCTTAAAGTGACATACAGCTGACCATGCTAGAATACTGGTTTCTCCAGATAAATCAGCACATTCTCCATGATTTATCCCTCTGCTTTATATATAGTGAGAGCAAGAATGACTGTATTGGAACCTGTGTATGCTGAAGAGGGACAACTTCACCTTCTGATAAATTCCAATTCTTGGAATCATGACAATGTCACTTTTGAATGCACCAAAGTTTATAATTGATACAGTGAGATTCCTTTGGAGTTCTTTCATCATCGTATACATTCCTTTGGAAAGCTTTGGAAGATCCAAGTTCCTCATTAAAAGGATGGCAGATCTTCAATTCCAGTTTATCTGATAGCAATCCAAAGAGTTCACTTGAATCAAGGAGTTCTGTGGGAAAGTGAGTAGCTTTAACTCTGACACAGAATGTGCAAATGAAGAAACAGTTTTGGAAGAGTTTTGGTGACACACAGCTTTTCCAGAAAGAGGCCCAGAAGAAGACACTGTGCAGTCCTGAGCTGGATGGGGGAGGGGAAAAGAATCCAGGGTAGAATCTATTCCCCCCAACTCAGTAATGATATAATGGTGGATTTGCCCTTGAAATAATCACAGGATTCCATCCATTCCTCAAATGACTTTTTTGGACACCAAAGGGTTCATTTGGAAGAGGCAGTTGTATTAGCTAATGTTCTTCCTGAAACTGTTTGCGATAGGTTATCATTGCTATATAAATTGAGAGGTTCATTAGGCAAATTGCCTATCCTGACCCTTCCCTTCATATAGCAGAAACTGGTGGTTTTTCCAGGGAATAGGAATTTATGACAGTGAGTGCAGACTTTGGTCATGGTACCAATATCAGCAGAAATATTACATTGTGCAAGTTGTGCATTTTGCCTTGCTCTTTCTGTTGAAATGTTGATGTTGAAGGCAGATGTAGTCACACTGAGGAACTCTTGCAGTAATTAATGTCTGCCACACATTCTGAAGTTCATCTTTGTTTTCCTCCTCTGTCTTTTCTTGTTTCCTCATTCTGTACTTTTCCTTGTGGTTCAGCAGAAATACAGCCCTTTCATTCTCTATTTCTTTATCTCTCGCACTCCTTGTTGCCACATCAATGATGTTTGGTGTCATTTCTTCACCATGAGGTTTCCCCTCTATTTCTACCTTGCATAATTATATTATTTATTTACAATATTATACATTGCCATTCTTACCTCAGAGCAGTTTAAAATAGGATCATATGACCTCCTGAAGGTTAGAGCATGACTGAACTATCTGATCTCCAGTGGCCAAAGGAGGGAACAGACTACACTTAGTTTCACCATAAGAAATAGCTGAAAACAGGATGGGCAAGGACTGAGGTACATAATAGCTAACGTATTTGTCTGACACCAGAGAGAGCCAGTTTCTACTCCACCTGTAGGCACAGCAGGTCACTTAGTGACTTTCCCATCTACTTCACAGGTTTGTGAAGAAATATAGAAGAAGGAACCATTATGTATATACATACAAAGTGGTCCATTCTCCTGAATGGAATATAGATACACGTGCGTGTTGTGTGCCACAGCAAGGGGTACATAAAGCAATAAAAACATCCAGGCCTTTCTTCAGGCACTTGTTTCCTTAAGAGCCACATGATAAATCAATTCCTTGCTAGTAGGTGGGGGAGGGAGTGATAGATTGCGAGACTGGCTGGGAAACTGCCACAGAATTTGAACAAGAAGATCATATGCAGCAGCCCAGCAGTGTAGCAGCAGCCAGTAGCAGTGAAGCAGACACAACTTCCCCTAATTTCATTCTTTTGGGAAACATGGATTCCGCTTTTGGATGTGTTATGTAAGTTAGCCCATTTGAGGTAACTTTGTTCAAAAATTGTTCTCTGTGATTCACTACTTCACCTAGGTAAAGGTCATGACAACAAGAGTTTTAATAGTATAGAGATTATAAATGGACCAGAGAAAAAAATATAGAGCAGTGATTTTCAAACTCAGCAACTTTAAGATTTGTGGGCTCCAAGTCTCAGAATTCCATCGTAACCACACATATCTTAGAGCTACCAAGTTTGAGAAACATTGATCGAGAGGAATAAGTCAGGGACCTCCAACAATCTATCACAAGAAAGCTGCCTTAGATTTCCCAGTTGCTTGAAATCCATTGACAAATAACAATGGAAAAACCTTGAATGTCCAGCTGACTGAGTGAACAGGAAAACCCATTCCTCAATTTCCCATTGTAACAAAGAGATGCTGGACTAGAAATATACTTTTAATGACTGGCCACATGATGTATGCAGAAACTCTACATATACAAAACCATTTTTTTTTAAAAAAAATCCCTTCTTGTTGCATGTTCAAAGAATCTCAAGTACACAGACAATTAGTAGTGCCAGAAATAAGCTAACTTACTTGTATTGATAAGAAATTGGTTTGAAACTCCAGGATGGTCAACATCATGTATTGCACTGGCAAAAATAGCAGCTAGAATCTCCAAGTCCGTGAAAACAGCCTAAGAGAAAAAAAGAGGAAATATTTAGGAATAAGATAGTGGAACAGAGAAGAATGACTAATGAAGAAAACATTTTAAGTGAAACAGAACTGCATTGGTCCTCTACCCATTTAGGTATGGATCTGTACTAGTACAAACACTTCAGTGCTTGTTATTTTTTCTGAAAAAGCAAAGATTAAAGTCCAATTTACCAAATATTTTTATAATAAAGTATCAAATGTTGATATCTTCAAATTAAAATTATTTTCTCAGTAACTAACCATTTGGCTAGCCACCTTAGTGTATTGTGAGACATGAAAGTAGGTTTCACAAGTAAGTTTTTTAATTTCACCCACATATTGTAGACTTACTTCCAAAGCTGGGGTTGATAAAAGCACATGTGTTGACTGTACAACATCAGAAGCATGTATATTGTTGTGATACGCCACATCTGCATGATAATGGTCCTCCAGCGTCATCAAATAGGTTATTAAGATGTCCGGTGGAATTTTAAATGTTTTTAGCAAATCCCGTTCCTGCAGTTACAGAAATAAAAGTAACTGAGGGTGATGGTTCGTTCTCTGAACTTGTGGGTTGGTTTCCAAAAGTTTCATTATCAGGCTAGGTAATATTTTCAGGGGATGTCAGTATCAGTGTTCTTCTGTTTATAAGGTGTGGGTGTGTCAAGTGAGGTCTTGTGATGGGTCAGATGTGAGTCTCATCAGTGAATCTTGTGATGGGTCGTGATGGGGAGGTTACATCAGCTCAGGATCATTGGGAGATGAACTGCTGGTGTTGGGGGGGCTTGCATGGGTTGGTTGAGGGTTGGTGCTGTCTCTGGTTAGCTGTGTGGTTGATTTGGATTCTGAGGGGTTCGTAGGCTGATTTTAAGTCAATGTGTCTGGTGATGGAATTGCTTGTGGAGTGCCACAGCATAGTGGATGGTAGCGTGGCCGATGATTTTTGTGTTGCTCCAATCGAACTGGTGTTGTTTGATATTGGTGTGGGTAGAGAAAAGTAATTGTTTATATAACCTCTAGAAAAGGGGGAAAAAATTCCTCTTAAACATACCTGAAAGATTGTATACATGATGACTGTCAAAGGTCGGTTCCCAGATAATTCGGCTATTTTAAATACTTGGAGGCCCCATTTATTTACATCTTCTAGCTCCTAATGTAAAATCACAAAAAAATCCAGAAACTGTTACTCTGGCTTTGCAATAGAGTTTGCATAAAACATCTGCTCTTGACTTTCTTTGTATTCTACATTTTAGCAACTAATTTTTCAGATTTTAAATAAGAAGTAGAACTGTTGCTCCAAACTGCATGCACTGAAATACTTCACTATTGCCTTGATGCTCTAATAGAGCAAAGAGCATTAGGAAATTCTCCAGAGAATGACACTACCTTACTCTAACATGTTTTGGGAATACTCTTTTAAGTTTCAAAATAATCAAAATAAATTATTTTTCCTGCAGACCTTTTTTCTACTTTATTTGGTGCAAACATGGCATCTGAATTTTTGTTAAATTCTATAGGTTTTTTTAAAAAAATCTGTTTGATTTCTGCAGTTACACAGTTCTAATGAATAATGTGCTACTGAAAAACTGAATCGGAATATTTAGTTGTACAAAATCAGTGTGTGAGATTTTATACACATGACATATAAATTCATATAGACAAATGAATGTACGTAAATATTTGTGAATGTAGTGTTGTAATTATATTTGGGTCTAAGTTACAGATACTGAATCAGCTAGAAATTAGCATTGCTCTTACCTTAGCTAGAATATCTTCTTGATCTGTTTTGACTCCAAATTTGGGGATGCTAGAATTTGTTAAGCTGGAGCTGTGCATCAACTTTTTTACTCCACTGATTTGAGACATAGGCCGTTTCTTTTTCTCTTTTTCTTTCTGTGTTGGAGATGGGATTTCCATTTCATGCTGTTTATCTTTTAAAGAAGAAAAAAAAATCTGTAATTTATTTGTAAATTACAGCTACCTTGTAAGAAGTAACATTAGGAGCAGCATAGCTTTTCATAAAAATGTCCTTCAAAAACATTTTGAAATAAGACGGTGGAAATCACCATCTAACCTATTAACTTGTTCTTTTTCTAGTTTTGCCTTAGCTATGAAAAACAGCTAGGTAACTTTGGGCTAGTCACTCTTTCTTTTGGCCCAACTCACTTCACAAGGTTGTTGTTGTGGGAACAATATGAGGAGGAAGGCGTATTGGACATATTTGTCATCCTGAGTTATTTACAAAAACAACAAAGGAGGGATATAAGTAAATAAATAAATAACTGCATTGAAAAGGTTCAAGACCACTTTAGTTTTAGATTTAAGCAATCGTACACACAATAAGCAATCTTGCAGCAACAATAACTTTACATACAGCTACAAAACCTAATGATGTTGATATAAAACAATTTGAATATTATAAACTAAAAAGTGAAACAAGGAGCCATTAGGTTCTTAGGTCCAAATAATTTCTTTTCAGTTCTGATTTTTAGGAATTTGTTTATATTATTTTATGCTTTCTTAAATCTTGAGTGAAGTTATCCCATTATTGTAGTTTGAGTGGAGATCTTAACTCAATATCTCCCATGTCTCAAACCTAACCTATCACCAGTTTGTCTCTGAAGTGGTGATAATTATGAGTTGATGAATAAGGTGGTTATTTTTACAAATATTAATTCAAAAATATTTGGCTCACAGTCCAATTTATCTTGCAAATCACAGATTTTTGATATCTGTCAACATATGCCTCTCTTTTTGTTGTTAGATTAGGAACACTGCTGAAAATGAAGCAAAGTAAATCAATTTTGTGCTACTGCAATGAACATAACTAGGACATGATTTACTCCAATTACATTGACCAAAATAGAAAATAGGTGATTGAGCATAAAAAGCTGGCATATGTTTTATGAATGAACAAATGAAAAGAAATAATAAAGGAGCTACAATATCATATTTATTTAAAAAAACAAAGTTCTATTGTAGATAATAACCTCAAAAACTGTATCTAGTTTGGAATAATTCTAATTGTTGCTATGAACATGCTTCAAGAAAGATCACAATCATTGTCTTGTTTTCAACTAACCATAATTTGTTTTAGCAAAACCTAGTTTTAACTATAATCTGTTCAAGCAAGCCAAATTCAAATTTGTTCCTGAACATGATTTATTCTCTCCTCCCCAAATGTTTAAATTGTAATTTCAATCCAAATAATTAATAGCAATTAACTGTAAAGAGTAGAGGATGTTTTTGATAGCCTTCCTTTTGAGAAGATATAATGCACACATTCAAGCATTATCTTCAAACAAGGTAATGTGAGTAATGCTTATTAACTCCCTGTGAGTTAATGAGCTCATACTAAGTTGATCTCAGGTGAACAATGGCATTTTCTTATCCTGTGAAATAAGATTGTTTTGCATACACATACTGAACTGGTGGGTAACAGAAAATCAGGATCACTGTTCTAGCTCTTAATCTCCACAGTAGAGGTAAAAATAAAAACTTCCCCACTGCCACAATTGATGTCAACAAACATAATTGTGTTATACCTGACACTAGATTGTTGTTCTCCAATCTAATAGTCTCATATGTGTTGTACTGTTACTCTTATAAACTCCTGACAGTCAGCACCAGCATATACTTTCTAGATATGGGAGGATATCATGGTAATTCAGGTTCCCTCTCAACGTTCCTCTTATGCAAATTAGGCAGAGAAATTAAATCTGGCCAGGAGTTTGAAATCTATTTAAGACCTTCAACTCTAATGGTGGTTTTGTAAGATTATCAACATGGAACCAAAATAACTTATATTATATAAGGAATCTATGTCAATTTTCTCTTGCATAAAAAGTTCATTGCTAACTGCAAAAAAAATATAATATTCCACTCCAATCAGTTCTTTCTCAAATTCTTATTTTTTCCCTAATAATACTGTATCATATTCTCGATGTTGTCAAACTGTAAAACCATGTGATGAAATACTGTTTTATATTTGGAGACTCTTTTTTTTCTCCCTTTCCTTGCTAACAAGAAAAAAAAAGCATGATGCATGTACAAAATATTTAAGAACTGCATTCATCAGTCTAGAAATGGGGGAAAATCTATTGCATGTATGTGTTGGCACAGATCTTTTCTTTAATCTTTTAGATTAGGCTAGCATTTACTGGAAAAAGCAGAGAATTCTGATCAGATTGCTACCGACAAGTGAAAATGTCACCAATTTTCAGCCAGAGGCAGTCAGCCCTCTCCTATTCCTTTACTGATCACCAATTAAATAAAACAGAGGGGGAAAAAAGGATTTGAACCGGCACAAACCAACAGCAGCTGAAGTATAATGACTCATGTGTATACTTTGATGTTTATAATTTCAGTCATATGAACAAAGTTTAGAACCATCAAAAAAAAAGGGCTCTAAAGCAAGATGTCAGATGCATTCAAGTGAAAGGAAATATTAGAAGGGTCATGGAATTCCAAGGGATTTCCTAAGGTTTCATTCAAAGTGAGCAAATCTTACGAATTAAGGCAAATATACATGTCCCAGGTTGCAGGATACAGTCTGGGTCAGTCACTGGAACCAGAGGTTTTGTCTTCCAAGCTGTTGTGCTGGAGCCCATCTTCAGGGAACTTCTCTCTAGCAGAGTGTGTTCTGTTATGCATGTGGTATTTAGATGTTGTTTGGGCTGTGTTGATGGCTGGCTTTTAAGCCATTAGCTGTCATCTGTTTGTGCTGTCCAGCACTCGCCTTCTAAGTACTTGATAGGCTGGTGGTAAATCAGCACTCCTGTTGACTGACCAGGGGCCTGTTTCTCAGGCTTCAATCACTTCCTTGGTTGTTTTTGTGCCTGCTTGTCCAACAATTTTAGTAACTGAAAAATTGAATGTGTGTCCTTGTTCACTGTAGTGTGAGGCTAACAATGAGTTCAGGTCTCTTTGTCTGATCGCTGAGCAAATCTTGCTTCTCCTTATCTCAAACAATTTCCTTCCCAGAGATATAATTATGCAATTATTTAGTGGGCCCTATTGTGCTCTATTCAAAAGGAAGTAACCTATCTCTACCAATAATTTAAAAAAAATCAATAAAACATGATCCAGAATTGTTCAGATTAAGTAGCCTTAATGATAACTTTATGCAAGGTCTTAAGGCCTTCATTATTAATAAGAAAAGGGAAAAGTCTTTTATAAAGTCTTTTATAAGACTTTATCAAGAAAACTGATGGGTTGTGGTACTGTTCTTCACATATCTCCATTATTGCACATGAAGGATTGCTTCATTACTACCATCCTGCATGCAGATATTTTTTTATCATTAAAAAAAAGTCCTACTGGAGCCCATCAAAAGTCTTTTAGTTTGATAGTGTGACCCATAACGCCTAACCAGGCGTCTGTAGGAAGCACAAAAAAAGAGTTATAAAGAAGAAATTCTTCTATGTATTCATTTCTATAGGTAAGCACATTTCCTTTTTTTCAAGCTTCCTGGAAATTGTCTAATTTTTCTTGTCAAGGGTCATAAAATCCAGTTTTCTATCTAATCCTCTGGATAATGAAAGGGGTGAATTTTCAAAACATTTTTTTTCATTTTGGATCTGAATCACAAGAAAGAGAAACCTATAGCATTAATAGGAAAAATTCTAGTCAATTCTATCATTTCCATCATGCATTATTTTCCACCACATATTTGGTTGGCCCAAATATCTTGGCAACAAACTATTACCTGGAAGTATTGAGACCAAACTGAGAAGAGGCAACATTGGCAATAGTGCATGACTTGATAAATTTCTTGTGCAAATGCTCAGGCCAGTTCTTATATTCCTTTGCATAATCCAGTAATGTCATGGATGCTGTACTATATAATTTTGATGGAGGCCATCCCTAGTTCATTGTCTGAAGAATCCTAGTCTGCAATAAGATCCTGAATACTTCTTCTGCATTTTGTTACCTAATGTTACCAATCTACAAATACTTATCACTGAATATTTTACGGCTTAATAATTGTTTCCAATGATTTTTACTAATGAAAAGCAATCCTACTAGTGCAAAGTACAGAAAACAATTATCAATTTACTTACGGTATCTATTATTTGGTAAGCTCCCCAGCCGCTTACTGACAATTGGGGAATTTTTTTTCAGAAATTATCATATAGAATATGGCAGAGGGAACCGAGACATGCAAATTATCTTTTTTAGTTTCTGCTTTCTATTTCTCCCAGGCGGTCATTTTGTCTTCCCTTCTTCACACCTCTAACACTTCTGTTTGATTGTCAACTGATGATGGGGGAAGGTCAAGGAGGAAGGGGGAAAAGAGGTGCAAGTGTTTGATTGTCAACTGGGTCTATCCTACTGCACATTTTCTTTAAAAAAATTATAATTGGCAATAAAAATACATACAAATAAAACTTTAGATTATTCCTCTATTTTCCAAATTCCATTTCAATTTTTCCTTAGCTAAATGTATATTTCAAATAGCAAGCAATTTGAATATGGACACTGCTTTGTTATTCATCTTTAAGTCAGCACAGCAGTTATGTTAGAATATTTAGATTGCAAATCATTGATATTGCAGTGAGACAGAACCTTGCATGCAGCCAATTTTGCTTGCTGTTTATGCTGCACAAACAGAAGTAAAACTTAATAAATTCCCTGGCTGCATACTTTGCTAAAGACTTAGGTGAGCGTCATCTTGTCTGATTTCTGCCAAGAACATTCTGAACCAACACATGTTCGGAATCATACCCGGATGGCTCAGGAGCACACAGTGAATTATACTTGCAGCTTGTTACCAAAATTGATTTTTTTTTATGTCAATGTAGCTAAGGTTATGTTAAACACAAAAGCCCTCCATCTTAAAATGAACCATCAGCTAGAAAACCCTTATAAACAATAGGAAAAGTATTATTTGACCAAACAGCACAAATCTATATCAGAAGTATATTCTTGATAGGCAGATGTCTTTGCTGATTGGATCCAATCAGAATATTTACACAAACATGTAGAATATTTGCACCATTCACAGAATCACTTCAGATCTTTCTGTCACAGCACATCCATATATCATTCCCTAAGTCGTCTTTTTTTCTTTAAACATTTCACTTCTCTCTTCCTAAGGGTCTCTCCAACATCTTTCAACCATGGCTTTTGCAGTCTTCCTCTTACCATTCCTTTCACTTTTTCTTCATTTGTTTTCTGATGCTATCCTGACACATTCTCTCAGTATCATCCAACTACCTTAATATACTTCATTGTATGTTCATTTACTTTTGTATTTAATTTCCATTTCAATATCCATTTATTTTTATATCTTATTAATTTACTAAGTATATAGTTTGTAGGTATCTCGTTTCCATTACGTTTAATTTTATGTTTTTCCTGAAATACTGCACTCTTACTTTCCAATAATAAAATGGGCAGAAGCCCATTTGTATGTACAGTCATTTTTGCTTTAGTCAAGAAACAGTTGTTCCTTATAAGAGACTACCTTATTCCCACTATCTGTCCACTTACACATCTTAGCATTTCTCTATTCGTTTCCCCAGATTTATAAATGCACTTCAGCTCATCTTAGATACAGCTATTTTAACATCACACTTATTTATTTCCTATCAATGCACTAAATAATGATTATGCACCATCAAGTGGTGCTGACTTCTAGCAGCCAAATAGATAGATTTCTTCCATGATAATCGGTCCCTAACCTGATCTTTCAGATTTTCTAACAGTGTATCAATTGCCAGTGCAACTGAGTCTGTCCATCTTGCTGCTGGTTATCCTCTTCTTGTTTTTCCTTCCACCTTTCCCAGCGTTTGCAGTTGGCTGCTATCATGCTGTCAGGCATGCATGTGTTACAAAAGTGTGGTTGAGCATGTGTCCTGTGGGCAGGTGCTATGGAAAATGAGATCCACAGGTTCTCATACTCCATAGTTGGGGTGTTCAAGAGAAAAAGCAGTGGGAGTCACTGAGAGTGAATTGGGTGGCCATGCAAATTTTCTTAAATAAATAAAATGACTTACAGGAGCGACTTGCAATCTTTCCTGCCAGCTTTCCCAGTGACTATGTTTATTATAAGAAGCTGGCAAGGAAAGCCCCAAATGTGATTATGTGACTTTGGGGTGCTGTAAGTGTCATGTGAGCCAGTTGCCAAGTGCCTGGATTGCAATCATGTGATAATGAGGATGCTGAGATGGCCAGAACTTCAAGGGCAGGTCATAAATAATACTTGTTTGGTGCCTTTGTAACATCAAACAGTTACTGAACAAGTGGTCATTAACAGAAAATTAACTGTATAATAGTTTTCATTATCTTTATTTGCTATTGTAATAATTATTTTATGCATTTTTCCTGACCAATCTGATTCTACTTCAATGATTACAGTCAAATATTGTTCCACAGTTTGTACAATGTGTTGTATATTCTCTTCAAACATTTCCTAGATATTTTCCACTTGGAAGCATTTCAAATGCAGTTTTGTATTTGATTTCTATTTTTATGTCCTTACTGTCAATTGAATCTTAATTTTGTCTTAATTTCATTAGCTGCTAGAGTTACTATAACAATATAGAGAAATAGTCACTATAACTGGACTTTCAGGTTTGAAACCATAATTATTTCTTATATACTATTCTTCCTTATACATTACATCGCAACATTTTCTCTCTCTATAGCAATAATCTGAGTTACAACTTTTCCATAGCTTTTAGTATTATAATGGTTATATACATTTCAGATAGATTATTTTTATATTTTGCTATTTTAACCCTACAAAATCATTTAGTTGTCTTCTATACATTCTATCATATTTTACATATAAATTTTTATACCCCAAATATTTAAGTTTTAACTTACATTTTTACTTATGTTGTTAAAGCTCCTTTTAGTCTAATCAAGTGTGACTCTTGTTCTGTTTGCTAGTTAATGATTGAAATAAAATGGCTGAAACGACTGAATATCCAATTTTTACCATTCACAAATTCATTCATTATTTCAAAAGCATCTCTTTTCATATTTTGAATTAAATTTAATTCCATAGACTTCTTCAGTGCTCTGGACTGTACTTTTCTAAGCAGGTTCCATGTCCTCTTAAGGCTACTTTCCATTCAATGTACTGTGAGATTAACTTTTCATACTGGACATGTACATTTTCTTCCTGCTATTTTGTTTTGCTACTTCCTTCCTTTTCTTCTATACTTATTCTCCATCTAGTCAAGATCTACTTTTGAGACTACCAAATAATGACCTATCCTTCAGAATTTTTGAGCATCATTATATCCTTCCCTATTTTTTTTTAAATCATCACAAGCAAATCAATCATGATTTTATTCATATTTCCTGATATGTATTTGCATGAATAGTCTTATGTTTAAACCACATATCTGAAACAAAAAATTATTTAGTTCAGCTACTCATCAAACTATCACTATTCTTGTTTATTCTATGGTCTTCAAATGAACCAATCATTTTTTCTACACTCTCCCTTCCTCCTATCTATCCATTCATGTCATTTATTCAGAATGCTGCTTAATTTCTCCAAAATTATATCTAATTCTTCCATTATCATCAGTCACTATGGCATAATATACAACTATTACTAACACATAGATAGGATTCCTATTTTCATATGCACCCCATAACCTAAATGATATCAATGAATACATAATCAAATCTATACCTTCACTTCCCTGAATGTATTTATTCATTCCATTCTACTATATTGGATCACCCTTATTCATTTTGTTTCTTAATTCATTCTCTTTGTTATTCACTAGTAACATTGCCATGAAACTTTACCAGATGAGCCCACATTGGCCATATGTCCTTTTTTTTAAGTAGAAAGATATAAATTAAGTTAAATTAACTGTATCCTGTGCTATAACCAATATCCTCTGGCAGTGGGCAGTATTAGTCAGTATAGGCACATTTCAGTTAGTCTATCACAATTAAAGTCCAAATTTTCCCCTATGCATGCTCATGATATTCTATGAAACTTTAGAGCTCCAATCTATAGAACTGCTTTGCAAGGCAACATTTGTTTGACCAGATCTCACCAAGTAAGAAGTCTATGAAGTGTATTGACACAGCTGTAGGAGTTGGGTTAAATCAATGGGAGGGCAGCAAGACAACTGGAGTCAGTGGGAGAAGGTTCTGTGAAGACTGATGTCTCAGGAATATCCAGGGACAATTGGGGGAATGGGTGGACTGATAGGATGATAAGTGCCAAGGCAGGAAAGCTCTGGGATTACTAGCAAGATAGTAATAGCTGACACAACAATCCACATCAGATTCAAGAAGACCCTAGGATAATCAGAAGAATGAGCAGGTTTATCAGTAGCAATGATGGGAAAGCCCTTGGAAAAATTGGAGGATGTATGGATCTGCAAGAGGCACTATGTATTTGTAGTTGCAACAGCAATATGGGTAGAATATGAAGAAGGAAGGAAGGAAGGAAGGAAGGAAGGAAGGAAGGAAGGAAGGAAGGAAGGAAGGAAGGAAGGAAGGAAGGAAGGAAGATAGATTCAAATGTAGCTTTTATTTGGTTTTAATGAAACTATGTTCCTCTAATGAGTCTGAAATATTTTAAGTGTATTGCCTTTTAGTCATAGCCCTTTGGGAATAGCTTGGAAGATTTGACAAAAAGGCATATGGATAATGTAGGCCTATGGATAATATAGACCTATGGATAATGTACCATAAGACAGCTAGCAAAAGTCCATCTGGTAAACTCTTTGCCAAACTCTTACCAACTTAAAAGTTACAATTAAATAATTGTGTTTAATTAATGCCTGTTTTATTTATTTATACATATAAATACATACATACATACATGTGTGTGTGTATGTATATGTATGTGTGTGTATATATGAGATTTCCCATAGTAGGTAGTGAAAAAAAAAACCACCAAGAAATACCCGTTTTTATACTCATGCTTACCTAAAAATGTGTTGGATATATATTCAGAGACTTGATTGCCTGATCGGCTCATTTCAGATAAGTGGGTTAGCTCTCGATTGAGCATTCTTTTAAACTGTAAAGAAAAGCAAAACAGTGTATGTCAATGGCCAGTACATGGGTATATGGTACAAAAATTGTGTAAAAACCGTTTTTAACCGATATGTTCACATTTTCAAATCAATATACCACAATGACAAGTAAAATACATTCTTCGGGAAAATGTCAAAGTAGACTTCACCAAATATATTATTCTACACATTATTTTATATAAACAGATACTGAAAAAATTGATTATGGATATGAGTAGAGATCAATTTCATTGCTTTTATTCTAGTTAAAAATGTATACTAAAGGTTTATAATACACACACATCCCACCTATGTTCTCATGAAATAAAGAAAACAATTTTCTTAAATTCCTACTTTTTTTAGTGGTCAACAAGCCATCTCCTTCCAGTGGAAATAAAAATTACCTAGCAACATTATACATTTCTATAAGCAGGAATAAACTGTAACTTAATTACATTACCTGTTTACTTAAACATCTGTATATCTAAATTCACACACTTAAATTTTAAAGTAATAACTAATGATCCAACTGCTTTGGGAACTATGTATTCAGATTTTATTGCGGATATAGCCATTTTATAAAGCAAAACATGTACAGATTAAAAAAAAAACTGATGAGGGTCATGTAAAAAATAGAGAAACTGGCTTTCTCAATTTGATGACCTGTAGACGGATTACACTTTAACCTCCACAATCTTCAACCTGCTGATTGAAGAGCATGAGTTGATGATGAACACTTTTTCAGGCACTTGTGAAGGCTGGAATAAGCTATTCCAATGATCAAAAAGCACGGCCTCCAATAGCTTCATCAGTTTTCTAATTGTGTGATTTCATTATCTCAATTACACTCGCTTTAGTGGCAGACAATCTTGCTATCAGTTTAGCAAGTAGGGGTTCATAAACTTTGGAGGACAGTACTGATTGTGACTTAATTTTATTAAGCAGCTTGTGTTTTAACAAAAAAGTACTGCAAGGCTTTCTGCAATATTCTTTTACTGTAACATTGTTCTTGCTTCAAGAATTCAAGGCCTATAAATACATAGCAAGAAGCAGAGAGGCTGAAGGGCTGCCCCATTTGTTTCGTTGTACAAGAAAGCGTCTTTCAGCAGTCTCTGATGACTTGAATGGCTGGCTTGATGAGTCACAGGAAAGGGTGATAAGGATGATTCCCATCAACCAGCAAAGACACAGAGCCTCCAGAGTATCCTATATTTAAGTCTCCCGTACTGCTGAACTAAGCCTGCTATAATTTCCACATTATGAGTTTTCATCCACTACTTATGGAAGGAACCTGGTTAGAAAAGGCTGGAAGAATACAGAAATTAGAAAGTTTCTTGTCGGGGGGGGGGGGAAAGGGGAATAATTTAAATTGTGAGTTTTCCATATGCTAAGAAAATGTAAATTTTAAAATTTACTTAAATCTTCCATATTCAGAAAAGTTAGATACTGGATTATTTAGAAATGTACTGTTTATACTATTTGGTTTAAAGCTACATCATTTTTGCAGCCATCAGGTTGTGAATATACAGTCTGCTCTATCAGTAGTGTTCTTTCACATATACTGTTTCTTTTCCACAGCTGCTCTCAGTGTATGGACAATATACATTACATAAGTGAAGTCTTGTCTGAAAATAATCCAGTGTAAGATATTCTGCAAGGCGCTGCTCTCCTTATTTATAAATCAGTTAGTTATCTGTGTCCTGATATATTATCACTTATACTCCATACACTAACCAAATACATCAAAAATCTAACTGGGTTGAGGGTAGACTAGGATACACATTTAATGTCTATTTACACTTTTCCTTTAGCCCATTTACACATTTGCTTTTATGAGTTTTCTTCATACTGCTTCTCACATGTCCCATTCCTATCTTGTATTGTAAATCTCGGCATGAATAGGACATTGATTTGCTTGCTCAACAATATATGGGACAAGTATATTCAAACAGGTTCTGTCCAGGTGATTTGCATTAGTTTTCTTCAGACATAGGTTAATAGCCAAAATATTTGTCTTGGTTAACTCAAGATTCCAGGGCAGTTGGCTTTACTCATTTTAAACATGGTTAAAGGAAAAAGAACTCCCTACACAGACTTTAGGTGGATGGCAAAGTTTTTTGTTTTTTTTTATGTGCGTTGAGCAAATACATAGAGCTATCTTAGTTTTGCCTCAGTACCATAGACTGAAAATTGGTGAAGGGCATTAAGTGAAATTTAAATTGTGACTAGGTAAAGTTATTTGAGTCTGTTCAGAAAGTTGGCCAGAAGCAAAACAAACAAAATATTAAAGAAAAGAGGGAAGGCTAGGCCAGAGATACTCACACTCTCCTAACATTATATTAACCTTCACTATTGTCCAATTGTAAAAGAGTGTGCTAACATGAGATAAAATCTTAGTCATTCTTGATATTTTCAGAAAATCATAGGTATCATTGGTCTCTAATACTGCTGCAACACAAAATTCTTATGTTGGTCCCCACCTTAGAAAATAGAATTCAATCTGTTGCTAATTACACTGGGCTCTCAACTTGATACCTGGAAATTGTTGCTATGATAAAAACTTATAATGTATTAAAAGGTAGAATTAAAGCACTTCTATGATTTCATATCAACTATTATTTTACCAAGTCTGGCTTGAGTCAAGATGATTAACTCAGCTAAAATAAAAGAGGAAACATATTTCTGTTTGCAAGATTATTCTGCTGTTAATCATTCAACCCTTTCTGAGTTCTCTAAGCTCCCAGTATCACTTAATTTAATCCATAACAAGCATTGAACCAAAGGAAGAAGAGTATGTTGTATGATTGGCTTCAGTTAATAACAAATCACAAGAATACAACATAAATAAATAACTCAACATAATACACGCAGTGAGAAAAAGGTGAATTCTATGTCACATAGATCCAATACTTCCTATCTAATTTTTTCAATTCTGAACAGCATAATACAGAATATTAGGAATAAAGCCCTTGTATTCATAATTAGGAGGCAATACAATGAGATTTTTTTCCTTAATGAGCATGTATAAATCACAGCTTAGGTTCCTACTTCATTTTACATTCTACATGAGTCTTAACACATGTAGAAGCTATGGATTGCTTATATATTTTTCAGCATTAGCAATATAGGATATATATTCTCCAAATCTAAATTCCCCTCATGGTTGTACTGGCCAGCCATTCAGAGAGATATGTGAAAATGAAAGAATAGGAATAATGTAGATGGTCTAAGAAATATTACAGTCCTTTGAAACCCAACTAATTTTTCAAGGAAAAGATAGTTATGACCTATAATTATTTGGATTATTCATAGGAAATAAAGTTGGACATTTTGCAGGGTAGAATTAAATTAAAATATAGATTTTATATGAAACTAGTCATGAAAATATTAATTGTTGATCTTGAAAAATATTTTATTGAACAAATCTGCAGTGAGAAGAATTCTACTTCACAAAACTCATAATATTAATGGTAATAAAGCAAGAAAAGTATAAATTATAATTTGTTTAGTGAATTGCTGGCAACAACAAAAAGACCTTACTATATTTGAAAGTCTAAACTATCATGCCTCAGTTATTAAGGTTTTTATTGTACTCACTTATATTTATTAAATTAAAAACTCAGTATTAGTAAATGATCCAATAAATGATCATATAATTAAACTGCTGCTTTAAGCCAGAATATTGAGCTGTTATCTACTATATTACAGTTGGCAAACTGATTGTCTTTTCAGAAAGATTGCTTGGGGTCAGTTGATCTTCATTTCCAATGCACTCTAGGAGCCAAACCACATGCACATAGGGCTTCACCAACTTCAGTGGTTTGTCCAAGGCCACTCAGTGACTTTAAAAGAAGCAAAGATCCAGGAGTTCTGTCTAGTGTCCTAATTACTTAGATTATACACAGTGTGGTTTACCTCCAGGCCATCATGTTGGAAAAAAAAAATCTATTCTAGTCCAGCTTCATCACTTTGTCCTACTGAGACCCTTAATACGAACTATTACTGCTACATTTAAATCTGATCACTTTCTGTTGCTATTTATTGGTCACACAAGGACAGAATTCCAGTTGTTCTATTGATTTTTTTACACAGCACATTTTTATGGATAAAGTCTACACACAAAAGGGAAAATGTTAATGTTAAAGTCAAATTATTAATCTTTATTCCACTAAGTGATCATGTATTTAGAAAAAAGGCATATTGTTAATAAATCTTGAGCATCCAGAACATACATAACAGAAGGTTTTGTAATAAGTTCATGGTTCTTTCTTAGATTAGCACTGCATATCACAAATATATATGATGATATGTATTCAGTCAATATAAAGGAACAAGCCAAGCTATTTTTTTAGTTGATGCTTTATAAATTAATTCTCAACAAGTTAAGGTTGACAACATCACTGAGAGAAAAAAAAACATTTCCAAGCACTCACTATTTTAGAATGGCTTTAATCAATTTTGAAATGTGTGTCATAGACAGAAAGCAAAAAATAGAAGTGTAATAATTGTTATGTTTACATATCAAGAAACATGAAACTACATATTCAGCCCTTATTGTTTATATGCTCTTTAATAATCTTCTCCTTGGAGAATGAAAAATAGCACAACAATCAAAGCTTGGATTTCCCAAAAACACAGTATTAAAAGTAATGATCCTATAGCTACTAAACTGAGAATATGCCCTATTCTCAAGACTGCGCAACTCTGTTATAGGTTCCTTTGAGCATAAGTGAATGTTAGAGGGAGTTCACTATTTTCAATTACATATTTTAAACTTACTTTAACATATCAGTAAGGCCTCAATCTATAATACAAAAAAATCAATGTTCAAGCAAACACTGCATGCAAACAAACATGACGTAGAAAATTCTTAAATCCTACCTTTATGTATCCCCAAGATACTGACAGTAAATAATTTGCTTCGGGCATTTTTGATGCTTTTAGTATTACTAAATTAAAACAGAATTTTCGGTCCTCTGTTATTACTGAGATACAGGGAAAAAAG